CTTTCAATGCTGGAAAGATACTTTGATTCCCACAATGGACAAATGGCTCCAAAATTGATGGGAGTTAGCCGAGATGGCTAAATTGACTACTTTGATTAAAGAAAAGAATACAATTAATGTTGTTTATAATAATAATAATAATAATAATAATAATAATAATAATAATAATAATAATAATAATAATAATAATAATAATAATAATAATAATAAAGTTGGAAGGGACCTTGGAGGTCATCGAGTCCAACCCCCTGCTCAGGCAGGAAACCCTATACCATTTCAGACAAATGGCTGTCCAGTCTCTTCTTAAAAACCTCCAGTGTTGGAGCATTCAGAGCTTCTGGAGGCAGGTTGTTCCACTGGTTAATTGTGCTCACTGTGAGGAAGTTTCTCCTTAGTTTTAGGTTGCTTCTCTCCTGAATTAGTTTCCACCCATTGCTTCTTGTCCTGCCTTCAGGCGCTTTGGAAAATAGCTTGACTACCTCTTATTTGTGGCAGCCCCTGAGATATTGGAACACAGCTATCATGTCCCCCCTCGTCCTTCTCTTCATTAAACTAGACAGTTTCTCCTTGGAAACTGCTTTGGGACTTTGCGCTTGAGATGGAAAAAAATGAATCTTTGATTTTGGGTTTTGCTGATTAGATAGGTTGGTTGTTATAAAATATATTACCAGTATTACGTAAAAGTAAAAAGCCGAGGATGTATGTTATTACCTTATTCTACTGAGCTAAAAGGAATCAGAAGTCAATGCTTTTTTGTTTTCCCCTTTACCCAGTACAGAATAACAGAGTTGGAAGGGGCCTTGAAGGTCTTCTAGTCCAGCCCCCCGCTCCAGCAGAAGACCCCATGCCATTCTGGACAAGTGGCTGTCCAGACTCTTCTTAAAAACTTCCAGTGTTGGAGCATTCACAAGTTCTGGAGGCAGGTTGTTCCACTGGTTAATTGCTCTCACTGTCAGGAAGTTTCTCCTTAGTTCTAGGTTGCTTCTCTCCTTGATTAGTTTTCCTCTTTCGCTTCTCCTTTCCTATCTTGGTTTTTCTTTGCATTTCTGTATTTTATATTTTATGGTTTTCTTGGAACCATGAATTTTCAGTGCACTTGAAGAATCCAAGCCCTCCCCCCCCCCAAAAGCCGAGAAGTGCCACCGGAACAATTTTGAATGCAACCTTCTCATTATGAACTCCATCTAAAATAGGTAAGTGCAATTTTACATGCTTTTGGATCCTTTGGCAGGCCTGCTGCTTCCAAACATCCCTGGAAACAAGGTTGCGGCTTCATAAAATAAATCAATTATCTTCCCCACCCTTTTAAGCAGTTTGGAAACTTCAGCAGAGACTCTTCTAGGAGTGATCCAGCTTCCCAGCAGCAAATTTAATGGGAACAATTTTATTGCTAGAAACACTCACTGGGCTACTGACTTGGCCAGCTGCTCAGAGCAATAATCTGGATGGGTAAAAATAATCTTCCTTTCCGAGAACAAAACACGTAGAGACAAATATAGCAGGCAAGCCAAGAGGTTTGCAAAGGAATTTTAATACCGTGGTTCTAATTAGAGCCCAAAAGGATGCACTCTGCAAGTGCTCTGAAAGACCTCTACAGATCCTGCACATTCTAGTGCTTATTTCCTGGCTGTCTGAATTGAGAAAAAAAACACCACACCCTGGAGCTACAGATACAAAAAGCTCCACCTTGTGCAGAGCAGAGCAAAAGGTTGGTGGAGATGGGGACAAGTATAGGTACAATTGTGATTTGAATTTCCATTGATAAAAAAGGTTGTTGCCAAGCCAATCGTGCCCAATTTTACAACTGCTTTTCCCACAATTGTTAAAAGAATCACTGAAGCTGTTAAGTAAATCATAATAAAACAGAAAAACAGAGTTGGAAGGGACCTTGGAGGTCTTCTAGTCCAGAGCTTTTCAACCAGTGGTACCGGTACCACCTGTGGTACATTGGCACCTGGCAGGTGATACGCGACCATCCTAGAAAAGTGGTAGCGGGGGAGGGGAATGAGTTGAACCGGTGGCAGCACCGCACAAGCCTGAGCGAGAGACGGCTGGAGCTGCAGGGCTGTCAGGGCTCAGCGGAAGCGCCAGGATTGGTGCTTCTTCGGAACTGTCAGGGCTCAGTGGAAGTGCCAGGATCAACGCCAGGCTCCAGCTGGAGCTCGGCACTGATCCTGGCGCTTCTGCTGAGCCCTGAAAAAGCACCAATCAGCTGGAAAGCGGCACTGATCCTGGTGCTTCTGCTGAGCCCAGAAGAAGCGCCGATCAGCTGGAATGTTGCAGCATCTCCAGGGTCTTGTGATTTACATTCAGATGCTTGGCAACTGATTCATACTTATGACGGTCTCAGTGTCCCAGGGTCATGTGAAGTGACCAAAACCTGCTGCAACCACCCAGCAGGCAGAGGGAATAAAAACCAAACACGCCCCCACCCCACCCCTGCTGCCAATCCGCAACAGAAATGCTCACAACAATGAAAACTCAGACAGGAGGAAGAGCGCCACCGGGCGGGCAGGCAGGTGTCTTGCTCGGCTGTGGCTTGGGGGGCACTTTTTTCAGTGCCATTGTAACTTCGAACAGTCACTAAGCGAACTGTTGTAAGTCGAGGACTACCTGTACTTTATCACTTTTTTCCCTTTTTTTTTTTTTTTGGTCATCACGTTTTTGACACCTTGCTAGGCGAGTGGTGGTACTCGGATATTGCCATATCCTAAAAGTGGTACAAGGGGTGAAAAGGTTGAAAAGCCCTGTTCTAGTCCAACCCCCTGATCAAGCAGGAGACCCCTGGACCATTCCAGCATTTGTAGTTCCAGAAGCAGTAGTTGTTAAATAAATCATTGCAGTTGTTAAGCCAATCCAGATTCCCCCATTGACTTTGCTGGGAGGCAGCTTGCAAATGAAGTTCTCAGGATCCCGGGATTCTGCAACCATCATCAATACATCCCGGTTGCCTAGCGCCCGGATTTTAATCCCATGACCATGGAGAGGCTGTGACCATTGTTAAGTGTGGTTGTCAGTCACTTTTTTCCAGTGCGGTTGTAACTTTGAACAATTGCTAAACGGATGGCTGTAAATCAAGGACTACCTATTAAGATGATTTATTGTAACCGCAGATTGGAACACGTTAACGCAGCATAAAATACAGCTAACAATAAAAACAATAAGATTGTAAAATAAAGTCAAAAGAAGAAGGGTAGATGCCAAAAGGTTGCCAGGAGATAAAGCCAAAGCTACAACTAGGAAATTAAGTATTTCTGAGTTTAAATGGGAGACAAGTTGAAAGTACTTGTATACAATGGTTGGAAACTGAACGAAGAGAGAAGCAACCTGGAATTAAGGGAAAACTTCCTGACAGTGAGGACATTCAACCAGTGGAACAGCTTGCCACAAGAAATTGTGGGCGCTCGATCACTGGAGGTTTTTAAGAAGAGACTAGAGAGTCACTTGTCTGAGACAGTATAGGTTCTCTTGCTTGAGCAGGGGGCTGGACTAGAAGACCTCCAAGGTCCCTTTCTATTCTATTCTATTCTATCCTTATTCTTATTCTACTATCTTTCTATTTCTATTTCTATTCCATTCCACTAAGGCCCAATCTTGGGATTTGGGAGGAAAAGGAATGGAATCACAATTGTGGAGAAGCCATGCTCGTGTCTGCCTTGGCACCTCTTTTCAGCAGTAAAGCCAGATGTAACCAAAGAAAATGTCCTCTACACATGTTCAGAGGACCCTTGGTCCTGCGATGTGAAATGTATCCTTTATCCCAGGGTCCAAAATCCAGCTCCCCATTCTGCTTTGGGTGGCTCTTTTAGCACCACACACTTACCGCCCATTAGCAGAACCAATTTGTTCCATTAAAGGGCTGGCACCAGAGCACACGGGTCCACAAAACCACTGAGACAAGTGTATGTTTCAGAGGGTTGTGAGAACAGAGGCTTGGGAAAGGGACCCCCTTCCTTCTCCCACCAGCTTGGAAGCAACCGGCCCTGAAAACAGCGACATTAACAGAGCCCTTCTCCAACTCGGTGCCCTCTGGAGATGCTGGACTGGCGTACCCATCATCCCCATCCAACTCAACCCACATCCAATTCAAGCTGGTGGTCCTGCCTTTGGAAGCAACATGGGGGGGGGGGTCTCAGATGCCAGGCCAACACTACAATCTGGCCCTTGTTTTCACTTTGGTTGGCTTGAATAATAATAAATGACAAAGTACCTTATTATAATTATTATTCTGTTCTTATCCTTTTCCATAAGTATATACAGTATTGTATCTCCTATAAATACATTTAAATGTTTTATAAATGTATAATTGTATAAACATATATAGTCATATACAGACATAAATAACATTTTATAAAAAATATCATAAATGTATACTACATACAAATATATATGCAATATTTATTTATACCTATGCATAACTATATATATGAAAAAATAAATCATATGTATATACGTATATACACATACATATATACATACACACACACACACACAAATATATATATGGATGGCTGGATTTGTACCATCAATAAAAATAAATATATCAATACATAATATCTGTATGAATATCTCAAGGCGGCTCCTCCTATTCCTGCCCAACAACCCTGCGGAGTCAGCACTGCAAGAAGGGCAACTCTATATAAACTGATCTAATAAGTGAGCCAGTCGGCAACCCCGCTCCCGTTGCTGCATTCACACAACCCCGCGTGCTCCTTCCTCGGGGTTGTGACACGCGTGGGGCGAGCTCAACGCGTGTCGCGGGTCAGCCCCACGTGGGAACCGCCCTCCCTCAGCCCCCGCAGCGGGCTCAGCCCCTCGCCCAGCCGGCTCGCCTCCCGCGTTCCCCTCGGGCGAGCCCAGCCCCGCTGAGCACGTGGGAACGCCGCCCGCGGGGAGCGCTCGGGGCAGCGGGCAGGCGCTCTGCACGTGCCCAGAGACCGCAGCGCAGGTCGGGGGGGGCCGCGGGGGGGGCAAATCTCTCCCTCCCCCTCCCGCCTCACCTTGGGCGTCGTGATGTACTCCATCGCCGAAGCCGCCGGCCTCTTCCACGTCCGGATCCCGCCAAGCCTCGCGAGACGTCGTGGAGGCGGCGCTTCGGGCGCCATCTTGCGTGAGGGCAGCTGCCCTTCCCCGGCGGAGCGCTGGAACGGGCCGGCACTTGGCGTTCTTGCCCGCCTCCTACCGGAGGGACCCCCGAACTGCACTCCCTTCCACGATCCGCTATGGCAGGGGTCTTCAAACTTGGCCCTTTTATGACTTGTGGACTTCAACTCCCAGAATTCCCCAGCCAGCGCATGCGCTGGCTGGGGAATTCTGGGAGTTGAAGTCCACAAGTCATAAAAGGGCCAAGTTTGAAGACCCCTGAACTAAAGTAACATCATCAATGCTGGAAGGGAGTGGGGTTTGTTCACTGGTTGTACACAATAGCTTGCCCTGCCAATTTATTTATTCTGTAATTAATTGTGTTCTCATTTCCATCTTTTGCTATTAAAGGGCTGCATATGTGGGATTACATACGCTCAAAAAATCCATGCTACGGGTGCCTTTTGTTGGCTGGTTCACACATTGTCAACTCAAGTTCATTTACCAATTTAAATATCAAATTTGGAGATAGCCTAGGTCACTCACCGAGCGAATCTGGGTGGTGTGCAGTTAAAACATAAAACATACAAACCACACATATATTGCATTCCGACAGAAGGCCGTTCAAAGAGGGATGGAATATTTAAAATTAAAAAGGCAAGCAGGCAGGGCTTGAAGTTGACTTAAATTAAGTTAAATTCAGCTCCTTTGCATTGTGGTGGTTCATCAATTTAATTTGCATGGCAGCAACATGGAAGCAGCTTACACTGCCATCTTCTGAGATTTGCCTTGCAATTCTTGGACTTCTCTAGCATCCACCATCAAAATAATAATTGATTAGATTGAGATGCTGCCTGTTTCCCACGAATCAAGGTAGAATCTGTTTGGGTTGATCAACCCCATCAATCAAATAAAGTCTTCAGATTGAGGCATTCCACAGATACTTGATGCAGGGTTTTGCTTTGGTAACAGAACAAAGAATGATAAGGTTAGGTCAGGGGTAGGCAACCTTGGCTCTTTTATGACTGGTGGACTTCAACTCCCAGAATTCCTGAGCCAGCCGTGCTGAGGGGAAAGGGAGAGGTTTCCAAGCTGAGCCATGCTGGCTCAGGAATTCTGGGAGTTGAAGTCCACAAGTCATAAAAGAGCCAAGGTTGCCTACCCCTGGGTTAGGGTTAGGGACTTAGGAGGTCTGGTCCAACCTTTTGCCCCTGTATCCTTCTGGAGAAATGGTTGTCCAATTTCTTCTTGAAAACCTCCAGTGATGGAGCACCCACAGATGGTTTGTGGGGGGGAAAATGGAACTTTCTTGTTGTATAAATTGATTGTAGTGAGAATTCTACATGCACAGGAATGGAAATTCCCACAACCGAAGGATGGATGGAAAAAGTGATGGAGCTAGCAGAGTTGACAAAATTGACTTTTCATAGTGAACAAGTTAAAGAAACAATGATAAGATGGGCGAAAAACTTTGGCTATAATATAGAACTAGACAAGTGGCAAAAGCTATGGGAGAGAAATTACAAATTAACAATGTCAACTTCATATAAAGAAAACGTGTATAAAATGTTTCATAGATGGCACTTGCCACCAGCGAGATTAGCAAACATGTTTAAAAATATGTCAGATGCTGGAAATGTAAACACAACACAGGCATGTACATTTGGTGGACATGTGGCAAAGCTAAGGTTTATTGGAAAGAGATACATACGTGGTTAGAAAAAATATTAGGTGAACATGTTGATTTTAAACCTGAACTTTTTTTACTAGGTATAATGCCTGAAAAGATTAATAAGCAGAGTTTATATTTAATTTTACACATCACTACAGCAGCGAGAATAATCTTTGCACAATACTGGAAGAATGAAGGATTGCCATCAGAAGAAGAAATAATCAGAAAAATATTGGAATGTGCAGAGATGGACAGATTAACTATGAGACTGAAAGATAAAGAAGACCCAGACTACTACCAAACTTGGGACTTATTTTATTGTTGGTTAGACGAAAGAATGAAGGATTAGGAATCGAATATGTATTAGCATAGCTAACCTCAGACAGCTCCTTGATTGGAAAAATTAACATATGTATGCAAAAGAAAACCAATAAAATCTCTATTAAAAAAATTGACTTTTCATTAGGGAGAAGAATATATCCAGCTTTGTTTCTGCCTGGAAATTGCTTCTGGACTTTGTGTTCAAGACAGAAAAAATACAAACTTTTGACACAGGGTTTTGCTGACTAATATAATTTGTTGTTACAGAAATGGCTAGTATTTTTTAAATTAATAATATAAAAAGTTTGTACTTTACTGCACTAAAAAAAACTTGGAAGTAGATATTTTTGCTTTCCCCTTGTACTATACTTCTCTTACCTGTTTTTTCCCCTTGCCTATTTTCCTCTCCTCTTTATTTTATTTGTATCTTATATTATGATAACTTTAATACAATTCTTTTTAAAAAGGAGAAAAGGGTGATTTATAAAATAGCATTATGTATGAAGCCCAGCCACTGTGGGTTGATGTAGCAAATCATCACTATATAAAATGATGATTTATGATGTAGGATGTAGGAATTCAGTCTGTTACTTTAACAGAATCTTTCCCTGTCTAATACAACTGTATATGGAATAACTATATATGAAGGTTTCCCAAAGGGTTCAAAATTGTGGCCATTAAAAAAATAACAGGGAGGATTAGTTATCTCTCAGGCCAGCTTAGGCTGTGTTGATAGTGTTGGAGGGCTGTCTTTTATCTGTGAAAATGAAATATTATTTTTAAGGACGAGCAGCAGGTAAGCTGAAAAAGGGACTGAAGCTGCAATCAATTTCAACTTAAGTGTCCAAAATTTTCTTAAGATGTTTTTACCAAGATAGAAGTTCTTGGGAACTCAATGGCTCCTTCACACAACATGCATTTCACTGATTAGCAATATAAAATGGTGGCGTTTGCATAGCACGCTAAATCTAAACAAATATTTTTATGTGGGATTAACGTGATGGTTTGATTGACGCAACCTGCTAAGACCGCTGCGGGGTCCTGAAAACCACTAGCTCTCAATTCTCCTTTTGCCAAGTTAGTTGTATGAATGTAGCGCCCTCCAGGACATATTTTGAAACAGACCTCAACAGAATTGTATTGACTCCATTTCTTCTTAGACAAAAAGAATCGGAGGGCAAAATGCAAACCACCCAAAAGGAAAGAAAACAACCTTCTATGGGATAGAAATCATAATAAAATTGCAGAGGGCTTTTATAAAATGAAGAACTTGGGGAAATACATTTCACTAGATGATAACGATGACATTTTGCAAAAACTGATGCAATTCAAAAATGAATCCTTAGCCATTGTCTATGGAGGTTCTCAGCCATCCAGGCCATGGTTGCGCCAAAGGTGCTTTTTCACCAGGCAACTGGACTTTTTCTTTGAAGACCTTTCGCCTCTCATCCAAGAAGCTTCTTTAGCTCTTCAAAGAAAAACAAGACAGTCCAGTTGCCTCAAGTGAAAAAGCACCTTTGGGATCCTTAGCTATTCCACGCTCCCCTTTTTTGTCTTTAAGGACATTCACAGGAGTGAACACCACGGGGCTAAAGAAGACTCCCCAATAAACCAGCAGAGACAGTCATGAAATGATGAACCCCAGGAAAGAAATACCTGTCCACCAAACCAGCAACTGGAAGGACTTCATATACTCATCCTTACCTTACCAAGACCCAGTGCAACAGTCTGGATCAACCCAGGTTTTTTTATATATATATTTTATTGAGTTTTATAAGGTTGGGAAGGGATAGGGTCAGGATGGGGACTAAGGTTCGGGATGGGATTGGAATCGGAATTGGGGTTGGGACAGAATTGGGAACAACATTGGGGTTGTCCCCCAATAACATTTTCATGCTTTAGCAAGCAGATTCTTGTCCGGGTACATATGTTCAATAGCAGTAATTACTATAATAGTAAATAGCTATAGTAAATATGAGAAACAAAAATCATAAACAATATCAGTTAATCAATACATATCCTTCATCTTATTAAAATATATTTGCCATTAAATATCACAATCATTTCTCACTAGTTCGTTTTGTTAACCATTGGTAAAAGTTATCCCATGTTTTAAAGTAAACTGAGTCTTCTTTCTCTTTAATCTCTTAAGGTTAATCTATCCATTTCTGCACATTCTAAAATTTTCTTAATTATGATCTCTTCAGACGGGAAAGTTTCATTTTTCCAATATTGGGCAAATGCTATTCTCGCTGCTGTCCGTATATGCCATATTAAATACTCATTCTCCTGCTCATACTTGGCTCCTAGTATTCCTAACCGAAACAATTCTGGTTTAAATTCTGTCTGTATGTTAGTCATCTTTTCCAACCAAGCTTGAAGTTTAAGCTAAATTCTGGAGCTCAGCCTCCAGCCTGCCCACCCCTCCTCCCCCCCCAAAGGTCAATCACGCCTAGAGACCCTCACTCCCTCTTGGAGAGGGATGGGGTGAAGAGAAGGATCGGGCTACGCTCTTCCCCACCCTGGTCCCGGTAAGTTATAGCCCCAGATCCAAACACGGGAACCGAGCCAGACCAGATGGGAGCGGAGGTTGCCTTTCGGGGGGACCCCCGTCGGGGCCACTGAAAGCCGCGGGGGTCCTCATGGACGGGACGGGGATCGGGCCCACACGGGCCGGTCCCGCGGAGGCTCCGTCGGGCTATAAAGGAGACGCCTCCGCGGAGCCGCAGCGTTTGCGGACCGAGGCCGGGCCAGGCGCGGAGGGAGCTCGGCCAGGCTGCCCCGACGACCACCCCCCTTGCCCGGCTGGAGAGGCTGCGCCATGGCCGGCCCCGCGCTGGGCGCTCTGCTGCTGCTGCTGCTGGCCGGCAGCGCCGCCTCGACGGGCCCGGAGGGCGAGCTGTGCGCCCCAGAAGGCGCCCTTGGCTGCCCGCAGCTGCGCGACGGCGCGGACGCCCAGATGTGTTGCAGCGCCTGCCGCCTCTTTTCCTGCCGCCCGGCCGGAGAAGCGCAGCTGGAGGGGCGGCGGGG